TTTCGGAAATATTTCTCGCCGTGTATCTGATCGATTGGCTGGGCTTGTTAATTCGATGATTATCTGGTCGTAGTCATTACACATTCATCAATTCCCTTTGTTCCAATCTCGATCAAATGCATTTACAGCAGCCGAGGGGCCGTGGTACAGCCTTATCAACCCATTCACCCCAGGTGGTCGTATCGTTGGAGGTAAACCAACGACAATTCAGGAAGTGCCGTATCAGGTGTCCCTCCAGGTCAATGGGTTCGGCTTCTGCGGTGGAATCATCATCTCCAAGGAATGGGTTTTAACCGCTGCTCATTGCGCTAATTACTCACCTTATCAGGTCACAATCAGAGCTGGAAGCGCAACAATGAGTAGTGGGGGATCACTTCATCAAGTCTCCCAGGTATCAATGCCGAAAATTCACTCACGAGGAAAAAAATACGCGATAGCTGTCATTTTTCCGTTAATTACGGACATAATATCCTCCACAAAAATTCCCTGTCACTTTTCCGTTATTATAATTTTTTAATATTCATATTTGAAATTGCAAATATTATTTTTCCGCGGTGTAGGGTAATAAAAAAAAATGGAATTGGTATATTTTCAGATCGTGCAACACGAGAATCACAAAACAAATCCTTTCGGAATTCCTGTGAACGACGTGGCAGTGATGCGGGTTAAAACTCCTTTCGAACTGGACGAGACCCGACGTGCCATTGATCTCTTCAGACCCGGGGAATCAAGCCGACATGGAATTAAGGCCGTAATCACGGGATGGGGTTCCGTGATGGAGGGCGGAGTGACGACTGAAGTTCTCAACAGAGTCAGCGTCCCCCTCATCTCCATGGAGGAATGCAATGACGCCTACAAGAGCTTCGGTGGAATTCCACCTGGACAAATCTGCGCAGCCTATCCTGAGGGGGGTAAGGACGCCTGTCAGGGGGATTCCGGTGGACCCATGACCGTCAATGGACGTCTTGCTGGTGTTGTCTCTTGGGGAAATGGTTGCGCCAGGCCTAGATATCCTGGCGTCTACTCCGAGGTCGCCTACTTCCGGGAGTGGATCAACCAGAAAACTGGGGTGTGAGGGTTGGCATCCATTTTTTTTCACCCATTTTCGCTCAAAAGTAAATCTTCAGGCGGAATTTTTTGATGGAATTCTAACGGAATTTCTCTCAAGAATTTGACCTAGATTCATCAAAAAACTTTATTAACTAAATTACGAATGATTAATTACATACATCCAACCAATGATAATACCTCAAAACTTTTCCTTCCCTCCATTCCCCAGGATTCCATAAATTTTCCAAGTTTTTCACCGCTAGCTCTGGAAGACCAGTTAAAAATGTTAAACACCTGAAAATTGAGAGCTTTTTTCCGAAACTTCTTTCTCTGCCGAATGCATATGACCTTTCGCTCCAATTTCCAGGGAAAAAAATCGTTGGAATACGGCTGACCTGCACTTCATCTAATTTGAGCTCTCCCTATCGAATTGAAATCAGGACAAGAACAATCAGACGTTTGGGAATGCCAGTCAGGTTTATCGTCTTACCATCCTCGATCTACAGAAAAGTCTACTTAATTTTGCTACAGCTGTCCTCTACCAGTGCACACGTGAAATAACAGTTCCAGTGCTTCAGCGAAAAACTTTTCTGATGGCCAACACCACCAGCACCGTGAGCATTCCAGTCAGGCGTTTTCCTACTTTTTCACCCCCTATTTTTCTTCCCTCTTTACCGTCTCCTCTATCTGAAAATATCCT